CGGATTTCGCAAACCTGTTGGCGACTTTCGGGGGCTCATTGAACAAAAAGCAGGGAAAGAATAATAAACAAAAGACACCCCACACTTCAAGCCTGCTGGCGACTTTCGGGGGCTCATCCAACAAAAAGGCAGGCAAAAAATAATAAAGAAAAGGCCCCCCAGACTTCTAAGCTGTTTGTTATTACCCCTCCCCAAAAGCAGAGGTACAAAAGAGGGGGCCCGACCGCTCCGACGGATACCGACGGAACGGCGGAGATTCTGTAGGTTTGTCACAGATTCTCCTTGGGACCCCGCGACCACACCGCGAGCTCGGGGGATCAGCGAACATTCGTGACGCGGAGCACGTGACCTCAAAACTCGATGACGTTTATCTTTCTCCTCGGGAAGAAACTCCGTCGTGCGAATACACCATAAGTCGCATTCATGTAAACGCAGCTACTGATTTGTAGAAATGTGCTCGCACATGGCTTCCATATCATTAGTGTGGTTAGTTAGGACTGCTTTGTTACAAATTGTCTGTTGCCTCTTTCTTATGTCGAATGATGAGCATCCTTTACGGTTCCTACTCATTGCTAAAATGTCTGCAGTAGGCAGCCGGCAATGGCCAGGCGGCGCCACGAGAGTACTGCATTCAGCGCCACAAGCGGAGGCGTCTCTGTTAATGGGGTGGCCAGTTTGCCCGTCGGGCCGTTGCGAGCGGCGGCGACCCAGATTTCAGCAGTCCCCGTGTACACCTGCGTGCCATGTCCTTGGTTCTTTTATGCGGTTTTTTAAGACCATCGGGTGCCTTGATAGGTCCAAGTGTCGAGAGAATATTCTAGAGTCGTCATTTGGACACCAGTTTGAGTTGTCTTCACTACTTGTGGCCGCCCGATCGGTCTGTGCTTCGCTCGTCTCCCAGGAAGTGACACAACACAACGAGAAGGCAGCGAATGGGTTTATTGTACATCCCGGTTGCCCGGCTTCGAGAGCCGGCAGTCCAGACCCGCCAACCCTAGTTGTCGCCCGTCGTTCAGAGCTCACAATCGGAGCCCGTGTCCAGGCCTGCGGATCGCCCTTCCCGCGCCAGTGCTGCGTAGGCTAGCTGTTCCGGCCTATCACAGTCAGAGTCTCGCTGCGGAACCACTACGGGATCGTCATAGCCCAGGCCGGTATGGCCAGGGCTCGCCGCTTCCGCCAGTCCTGACCCGAACTTCGCTGGTGGAATGCTCCCGGGAATCACCATGGGCCAGACCAGCCAGAACGGCTCTATTGTTCCTGCCCGGTCCCAGCCTCGTGCAGCACACTGCTCACTGATGGCTTTAGAGAGAGAACTTTACCGGAACCCCGTGCGACCCCCATTGACGTCACAGTGCACGTGACTCGGAAGATAGCGAAGGAGTTGAGGGCTGCCGAAAACCTCAATCTTTGTCCATTTTTAAGATAAAAACTAGGACATGGAGGCAAAAGCGGTTTTTTGTTCTTTACTTTAGAAAGGTCGAGACACCAACTCCCAGACTAATTAAGGAAAGCACTGAAACTGTTGCACGGCTCCTTTATTTAAGTCTGTTACAGTCAGTTGGTGTTACGAGAAGCGTCTTTTCTGACCTTCAACTGTGTCCAGTGCGTGGCTTTCAGGCGTCCCATACTTCTTTGTTCTTCCTCCTTGTGTCTGATGTTGCATCCGCCATTGTTTGGGTTCAATAGGTCGTGTTCACTATTCACGGCAAACGTGCACGGAATACACAACTTAACGCACCCAATTATGATAGTTAGCATACTTACATCAATGCTGCGAACCTTTGTTCGCTAACACTAATAAACATAAATTCGACTAAATTTATGGCACGGCTTCACAGCCGTCGAAGGGAAAGTTGACTAGCAATGTATGACTGCTAACTTTGGGTTTTTAATGGGCATCATGCTGTAGTGGTTACGTAAATACCTGCCACTATCACTAATAGGGAACTGCACAAAAGTTCTCCAAACTTGCATGTGCTATTCAAAAATGTGTATTTCTTTATTACAAAGATGTCTGCTTTAAACATTTTCTACTTAAAACTTGCTGGACCACTGCTGCGAAAGATAGACATATGACTGATCCAGCGAGCATGTATCTTTCACTGTGCAGTCAGCTTTGGGGGGAATGGAGTATACGAGGGGTGGCAGGAGCTTATCGTAGTTGGTACCATTTAAAACTGCTGGAATAATGTGGAATTGTCACATTGATGTGACTACCTTGCCAAACATTGGTTGATAGAAGTGATGCTGGTTCACACTGCAAATTTTGTGCATTATTAACCTCCACAGTAGGGAACACACTGCTCCATCTGACAAATTGGCCTCCGTTGTATCGAAGGTTGCGCGCAACCACCCTACAGAGCATAATCTTGCAAAATGCATTACTTGACCACGTGCTTGCTTTGGTAGGGCCACCTCTATAGCCGCTTGCCTGCACCTGTGTCTGCTACAACAGCAAATTATAATCTCGAGATGGATTAAGGGGGGACACTACCCACAAAAAACAATTTTTGCAAAAAGAGTTGATATTGAAAAAAATGCCATATTTACATCCACCATTGTCTATAGAGTGTATTCCCAGAAAGTTGCATTAGTTCACGCTGCATACTGAATTTTTTATAGATTATTTTCGGTCCACCGATGCTAAAGAAAAGTTAGGGTTTTAGCACTTTGAATGCATTTTTCTCCGTTCCACTTTTAGGCATAAATTTCACTTTAGGAAAACTATTGCTTTCCTATTGCTCAATAGAGAATTATTTTTAGGTGATTTTCTGGGATAGAATTTTGTGAGGAACATGCCAGGCTGGTTACTTTTTCTACTTTAATATTCTTTTATGCTAAAAAAAAATACATTTGTAAAAAAGATAAAAAAAAATTTAATCTTTATGGAGTTATATTAGAAACAATGCAATATAGCAAAATAACTAGCTGGGTATGTGCTATGGGTATTTCTCTAATTATATTAAACATAAAAATCGCAAATCTTCATTTCATTTTAGAATGATAGTTTTTTTAAGCGAAACACTCACTTTCACAGTGTAACATTCGTAGCAAGTTTCAGAATTGACATAGGGCAATGAAATTTGGCAGGGATTGGCTTGCCACTGAAAAACTTCCACTGCAAATTTGATTGCAATCAAGCAAGCGGTACAGAAATAGACCTTTCTGGGTAGTGTACCCCCTTAAGGGGGGACACGGCTCCCTGTAACAAAAAAAATTACAAAAAGTCACATTTTTGAAATTGTGTTTTTTAATATCTACAGGTATTTTCGCATCTTTTCTCAAAGTATTATCGCAAAATACGCCCTATTTATTTTGGGGTATTGATTTGAAGTATCAAAACGGAAATGCTTCCTCCGAAAAAAGCAAAAAAGAAAAAGGTGCAATTTGACCGCCGGTAGCTCGAGAACAACGCAATAGAAGGGGGGCATCTTGGTCTCATTTGAAAGCTCCGCTCTCGCTCTTTCTTCTCCCGCCATTCACGATGCTAGACGGCGATTGGCCGCCGAGAACGAAGCACAAATCAAAAACTAAATCTTGCCACGCGGTTGGCTGTTTCAGATCACGTGTGCAGATGGCGCTTTCTCATTGGCCGTTAGGGTTACGCAGAGTCTGCTCGTTGTTTCCAATCCGCCATCTTGTTTGATTCGCGTGCGCGTCTCTGACCATGCCGACCACAACAACTCCATGGAAAAAGTTTCACACGGCCCATAAGTACGGAAAAAAACGAAAGAAGGGCCCGAGCAGCTAATCCACGGCGCAGTTAAACTTCCCGCGAGCCTGAACGTCGACGACGAGGTGCGGGATCTCGAACACGAAGATGGCGCATTGACGGCGCCGTCGACATCCGTGACTTCAAGCACGGTGATGCACAGTGCTTCCGAGATCGACACGGTGATGCTCAGTGCTTCCGAGATCAACGAGAAAGAAAAAAAAGTTGAGGAAAAACTCGAAGAACATTCGTCGTCATCCGCTACGACGCGGAAAGCTGCCCTGATGGCTGGCGTCTCGGGCGCCGATCAAGAAGCTCCCGAGAGTACAGAGAGTTCCATCGTCGTAAGCCCCGACGTCGTGGACTCGCTTCTTCAACTCGCGAAGTGTAAAGCTTGTTGCGGCGATGTCGAACTCATAAAATGCGATCGCGAGTATGGACTTGCAGTAAAACTCAAGCTATGTTGCAAGATCTGCGGGGATGTCGCATCCGAGTGGAGTTCGTCGCGGGTAGCAGTAAAAATCTGTCCGTAAACATTTTTTGCTGTTTTCTCGAAATGAACTTTTTGCGCAGTTTGCTATTTTGCGGAAGCCGTATCTCGGCCTGTATACAACCGGTCTCCCAATTCTTTCTTTCTTTGGTAGTTGTATAAGTGGGGTATCCAATAAGGGGTCTCATTGCATCAACCTAGGCATCAGTATTTTTTGTTAGCACCTCCAATATAGATTGTAAAAATTAATTTATAAACTGAAAATTTTGAAATGCTGTAAAAATGTTATAAATAATCCTGGAGCCTTCATTTATACCTTATTGGATTCTGTAGACCTTCTAGTTTACAGAGATATATTCCTTTTTGAGTTTTGTCTTCATAATTTTTTGGAATCTTGCCCATAAAATGTTCAAATAAAATAGTTAATTTTATCAAAACTAACCAAGCTATTTTAAAACAAAGTACATATTTGTCATCAGAATGGGAAGATAATTATGCTCTATAAATTTCATTTGGATTGGACCATAAATAAAAAAAAGCTCAAGAAGCAGTGTTTCCCCTTAAAGGTTGTATGCCCAAAACAAGCCTTCTCTTCATAACTGAAATAGCCCTCCCATTTGTAGCTTCTTCTTTTCAAACACTTTTTTTTTTAAACCTTTGTATTTGATGATTTCCTCTTTTCAGTTGGCGTGAGATGGATAGAAAGTTTATGCTGAAATTGTCGGGTCAAATTGAAATCGGCAGTTCTAGAGGCCGACCGCTAACTCGACAGACGGCTTGTCCTTTGTTTTACACCAGGACAAGCACATCTCCGACGTGCGCAAGCAACTGGGCGACCTGGCCGAGGAGAAGCGCGAAAAGCTGCAGAAGAAGTTGGAGACTGCCCAGGAGAACCGGGCAGTCATCTACAAGGAGCTCCAGGTCAAGCTGCAGGAAAAGGTGGGGCCCTTGGGGTGGAGTCGGCAACTAGGGAAAAAGTCCTGAGCTCTCTCGGGGACTTTCGTGTAAGCCTGGGGAAAATCGGGGAATGGTAGGGGCTGGAGTCACAAACTTGGAGAAGTGGCTGATGCAGCAGAGAACAGTGCGAGCCATTGGGCCGTGGGAGCTTTGCGTGACCTTGAGGAGGGGTGCGGGGCGTGCAGCCTTGCCACATGTTCGTGGCTTTGGATTTACTGGGGTGGCTTGTAGTGTCTGTCATGGTTCGTCGTAATGTGAAATGAAGAATGATCTGGGGTGGGCGTTCAGTCTGACGTGGAGATCTGCTCGATACGTTGCGGTAATTGGTGGTTTCCCTAGACTTTGTTACAGGGACTCGAACCATAACTGTAATCGAAACCAAATACCGTTTAGGAACAGAATATTTTCAGTAACCATAACCGGAATGAAACCATAAAGGCTCGTCCACTCTCTTGCAGCCAAGTAGGACCGGCTAAAACGAGACCGGTTTTTAAGCCTTTTGCGACGGCTTAGGACCTGCTCCGCAGCAGCGTATCTGGTCTCACGCCATCGCAAGAGGTCTAAAGACCTGTCTTGTCTCACTCGGTTGCAAGTTTGTGAACGGGCCTTTATTTGATATTTTTGACAACCGTAACTGTACCTTATTTACCGGTAACCGATTCAGTCTAAGTTTGTTATAACAGACCTGGTTACAATAGACATTTGGGTATAACATACCGACCTGTGAAGTTTGGTTGGTTTTCCACTATGCACCATTGACTGAACTTCATATCTGCATACAACAGACCAAAATCTTGGTCAAAATCAAGGTCTGTTTTATATTGAGCTTAGACTGTATATACCGAAAAATACAAATATTTGTTTTCTCAAGAATGACCTTCAGGAGGGATCTTGAAATATTGTAGCCTTTATTCCACTTAGCAGCAGTATTTTACTAGAGGAAGGCTATGCGGAGGGCAAGTTCGTCCGCTCCTTGCGCAGTGGGTAGCAATGACGTCAGAACGCCGAGCCCTGATTGGCTGATCGAGCCCCCCTATCTAAGAGTCGTCTGCTTCTTTGCAACGTCGTCTGCTCGCAACGTCGTCTGCGTCTGTCTTACCTTTCCTGCGACTTTCGGAAGTGCAGAGGCCAGATTCACGAAACAATCTTATGCCAAAAATGTGCGTAAGACAAAACTTAAGAGCGAATTCGTATTCACGAAACGAAATTTTCGTAAGTTTTGCGCAGGTTACGGCGAAATCCTACGACAGCTTCGAAGCTGTCTTACGCACTTCTTACGATCAAGTCAGCATGGCCGACAGCGTCGCGGTCGCGACGACCCACGGACGTTTATTTTTCTATGTGCGCTTCTCACGCGTCCCGACTTCAAGCAGCAAGAAAAAAGTAAAAATTACTTGAAACAGAGCACGACGAACAAGAACGCTGGATCCACAGACACCGGGGAAAAGCTCCAACGGCGACGATTCCACCGAACGCGACCAAACGAGCTGGGCAGTTAGGCCTAGCAGGCACTCCGCGACTCGGCGACCGTCTGCCCACGACCGGCTGACGTGCTGAATGGAATATGCCTGCGCGACCCTTGTGAACCCTTCCCGTGTTATACTTTGATCGCTGACCTCAATTTTAGATTAAGAGGTCAATTTCTTCCTCTTGTTATCTCCTTGTTTCCCGAGGCAACGGTGACTCTCGTCAGTGAAAAAGCGGCGAATCTCCGACAGAGGTAGGAAAGGTAAAGCAGCCATCGCCTTGACTAGCAGACGTAAAGCAGACGACGTTAACTGCGCCAACCCGCCGGCGCCGTTAAAGAGTGAGGGGTCTCGCCCACGACTAACTCTCTCGCCGCACACGAATGGAGGTAAAAAGTATTTGGGAGGGAACTTGCGGACACTAAGCAAACAAACCTCGGCGCCCCGGGACACCTCGCCAGTGAGTCCTTTGACTTCCCTCCTTGATGCGCGTCTGGTAGTTGTTAGGCGAAAACAATGTACCGCTCGAGTTATTTCGTCTGCCCTCCCTTAAAGGCCAAGTCGAGTTCGCTCCGAAAGTCGCAGGAAAGGTAAGACAGACGCAGACGATGTTGCGAGCAGACGACGTTGCAAAGGAGCAGACGACGCTCAATAAGGGGTCGCGTTCAGCCAATCGGGACTCGGCGTTCTGACGTCACCGCTACTTCCTTTCTCATGCGCAGAAGACTAAAATGAGCCCACTTGCGAGGCGTATAGTTCTGCTTCTTCCTTCGAGGCGCCCCGAGGGGGTTTCTGAGATCGCCTAAGTTTGGCATTGACTCCCTCTGCTGGCTCTATGCATCGTAGAAATACCTAAATCACGACAATGTGTGTCCGGTTTCCCTATTAAAAAATACAATCTAAGATTGCAACACGCTGAAGTCACCTCCGGGGATGGGAGGAGCATGTTCTGAAACCAGAACCGCTGTCAACCAATAGCAAGCGAAGGGTCCTCGTGGCTCTCACTGGTGGAAATCCTAGACGTTTTGTAATAACAGCATTTGCAATCTCAAAGAAATGTCGCATTTTCATGGGTCGCATGTCATCCCGGCTGCCGGAGCAATATTCCTCCCATTGCCCGAGATGACCTCGGTGTGTTCGATCTTTGATTGCTTTTTTAATATTGAAATCTGCCGCGCATCGTTATGATTTATAGATTTCTAGGATGTTTAGAGCCAGTTGATCACACACATTCATACATTTTTTTTTTTAATTTTTAATTTTATTTAAAAAAAAAAAAAAGAAGCTTGTCATGCTCTGACAAAGTTATTTAGGAACAAAATACAAAAGACAGCACGCAAATCGGATAAGCAGTTCCTGAGATTTTGCGGGGATGAGCAGCCACGGTAGAGGAAAAATCCATTTTGAGCAAATGGCGGTTGAAATTTAGACAAGCCTTTCTTTTTAATTCTAGAGATACTTGAATGAAATCTTTAGAGCATGTTTATAACACTAACATAAGACTAACTGCGACGTTTCATGACACTGATTATTCAGTCTCAAGTTACAAGAGTTTATCAAGATTGGTTATATGTGTCTCTTATCCCCATCCTGGAGAATCTGCAAAGCGCAGTGACAGTGTGAAATTCATCATGGTGACTGCTGGATAGGTAGCCCCTGGCATAACAGTGCCTTTTTTAATTTCTTTGCAAAAAAATTTTAGCACGACGTTGGTTTCATTTTTAGATCAAACACAACCATAATTTTTTTTTTTTTTTTAAATTTTAGCTAAAGTTTTGAAGAAAACAAGATTGTCATGCCCTCACAAAGTTATTTTAGGAACAAGATACAAAAGACGGCACATAAATCGGATAAGCAGTTCCTGAGATATCGCGCGTCAGAAAATCCGTCGCGAGATGGGTGCTGGACGATTCACTCCGACTCGCAGTAGGCGCCAGCCGAGCGCTGGAGCCTGCAATCTTGGAAGAAACTGCAGCGGTCTGTGTGCTCGAGACACCCCGCATACATGCAGCAACAGCTCCTTCCTCGGCGGCGACTGCCGATGGCACGGAAGGTCCATTACTGGAAACATCGACCTGATGAGCATTGGTGGCACGCTGTGCAGAAACTTTCAACTTGGCCATCCTGATAAGCTTCATGGAGCGCTTTCGCATGTTGAACGCGCTTTACGTTTTACGCATTGTGTGCGGTTACAAAATAGATGTGCAAGTTACAAGAAACAGCTCAGAGTTTAGCGGGAATGATCGTAAAGAAGGCGAAAAGCGAAGCAGACCTAACAATGCGCGGGGGCAAGCAAGGAGACCGCTGCCGTAGCAGACGACGCGACCTGCAGCGACGGGAGAAAACGGATAGGAGGACGTGCGTTGCGGCCAATAGCCGCGTGCTCCCCCGCGCACTTTGTCCAATCACGGCTGTGCAATTGCGACATGGCAGAACGCCAAACGCGCGGAAATCACGAGGCTGACGCCATTTTGAATATCAGGAGAAGGAAGAGAGAAAACTCGCGTTCAAAACATGACAAAATAGTGGCCATCGGCCGAATAGAATGGGAGCGCCGATAGCGCAAACTTTCGGTTGATTTTGGCGCTTGACTGCCACTAGAAAGCTACCCAGGCTTCGTAAATATTTTATTTTTAATATTTTCCTGGTGATCTTGGTGATATTTACAGAGAAAGTAGATTAGGAGATATACAACCCAAAAATATGGTTTCCAAAAAATTTACTTTTTTGAGAGTTTTTAGTTTTCAAGGCCCGCGTCCCCCTTAAAGGGGTACGGAAACGAAATTTTAGCGCCGATCTTTCTGCATAAATATAGGCTGGGAACAGACACAACCTCGGAAATATCAATATCGCGCTGTAAAACACAGGAGAACTAATTTTAAACCTAATTAGACTATTTCAAATTCGCATCTGGTGGATGGTGGGAAGTTCTCGTGACATCACTTGTGGCATAGGAGCAGCACCGTTCTGCGGCAATATGGCGTGCCGGCAGAATTAGCCTAGGCCTGAACGCTTCTGCAAAGCCTTGGCGGAGAAAGCCAAAGCGTAGTTGGCCACAGTGAGCTCATTCTCGTTGCGGCTCTTTGCACGACATGACCCGAGCATGCTTCTGGCACGGCCGGTATTAGTTGCTGCGAGTTGCGAGCTGCGAGCCGACATTAAAAAAAGATATGTTTGAACTACGAGAGTGTCAGCAACAGCCACGCAAATACCTGTTCACACTTGGAGCGGACACGCGCGTTTGATTGAATGCTGGATTCGCTGTTAGACCACGTTTCGGTAAGCGCTTCTGGACCATTCTTTTACGATTGCAACTCGATACTGACATGACGCTCGGCAAAGAAAGGTTGGACCGACAATCGCGTAGCTCCCACGAACTGCTATAGCTCGACAGTGACCTAGCGTCGTGTCAATAAAAATGGCATACTAATAACAAAGTGTACGTGCAGTGTTGCAAAGGTTATTCGTATGGCGTTTATTTGAGTTCTATATCACACAAAACAAGGAGATGAAATCAATGAGAGTCCCTTTTCCACGACAGCATTTGTCACCGCTGTCTCGGAAAACAAGGAGATGGAGATGACAAGGGGGAAAGACTGACCTCTGAAATTTAGTTCAGGGATCAAACTATTCATCCGGGAAGGGTCCACAAGGGTCACGCGGGCGTATTCCATTCAGCAGGCCAGCCGGTCATGGGCCAAGGACCGTCGGAGCAACGGTGCGCAGAGTCGGTGTTGCTGCTAGGCCTACTATATTCTGCCGAGCTCGCTTGGTCGGTAGAATCGTGGCCGTTGTAGCTCTTCTCAGGTGTTAGTGGATCCTGCGTTCTTGATCGTCGTGGCCTGTTTCAAGTACTCCTTCCTTTTTTCTTGCTGGTTGAAGTCGGGACGCACGAGAAGAGCACGTAGAAAAATAAATGTCCGTTGGTCGTCGCTACCGAGTAACTGAGCGACGCTGTCGGCCATGTTGATTTGATCGTAAAAGCTGCGGAGCTGTCGTAGGATTCTGTCGTAACCTGCGCAAAAGTTACGACGATTTCGTTTCGAGAATACGGGTTTTCTCTCAAATTTGTCAAACGCACTTTTTTCGTCGTAAGTTCACTTTGAGAATCCGGCCTCAGAGCTGGTTTTGTCAGTGGTGCCGTGGTTGCCGACTTGCCGTGGTGCAGCGTGCGTGCAGCCCTTGCACATCTTAAACGGCCACGTTGTCACAGGTCGTAAATCATCGATGCGCCACCAAGCGGCATCGCTCGTAACCACAACATCTACGCCGTAGCCTTTCCCATCTGGCACGAGTGACGTCACGAATGCGCCCAATATCCCAAGACGCATCGCGCTCTCCGATGGCTGATTTTTGAGCGCACGCCCAATGGGGCTTCTCAGAGTGAAAAATGTAGCCATCCGTTCAAAATAGAAACGCGCGATTATGATTTACGGATATCATTGTTCGTATTAAACCTATTTCTGACCATAATAGGTGTATTTGAAGTTTCGCTTCAGTATCCCTTTAAGTCGAAAAGTGTCGGCATTGCGGCGCACCAGGCTGCCATGCTGGCTTTGAAGCGAAGCTAGCGGAGCAATGCCGAACCATGCACACCCTGCTCGGATGGGGAGCGAGGCTGGCGAGGTGGCAAACGCTCATTCTTTCTTGCTCTCTCTTTCATCTGTCCTTCTCTTTCTCTGGTGCGAGTACCTGCATGCACGCTGCACTTCTAGTTTCTGTTCCGCTTGATTGCGTGAACCGTGGTGTTTTGGAGTATGTGCGCTTTGCACCCATTGACGATAGTCATGGCATCGCGAAAAAGGAAGGCACTCTCTTTTAAAAAGAAGTTTGACATATTTCAGACGGTGGATTGCAATCCCAGCCGGAAGAGATCTTGCATCGCGAGAGACCATCGGACTCGCGGTCTCTTGGGTTAAAACCTAGAATTCTGGGGTCCTGCAGCGTGAGCTTTTGTTGCACATGCTCAGAAATGCAGTGGGCTAGTTTATTAGGGCTCTGCTCCCCCGTTGACTGTAAATGGGGTTTGCACGGGTCCTTGAAAGACTCTGAATTTAACAGTGCCATTTTCAAGTGTCCAAAACACCCTGAAACTTAACGATTATAGTTGCAGGCTGCTTGTACAATAGACCACAATTACATTACGCTTTCTTACGTCTATACTAAAATTAACTTCATATATTTCTGGCCAGACTAGAGGTAGTTCAGTTTCGTCCGTTCCATCATCTTCAGATTTTGCTTCGTGTTGTCTCTGCGGTCTGTGGTCTTCAGACTTCCACATGGTGTTCGTTAGCTGCGCTTGGTTGGCTTAAATCGGTATATGTTCATCCGGCACATGGTGCACGAGTCTCGGGAAACGAAACTTCTATGGTAGTGTTCACAATTAAAAACGGCGCGAACGAGACGGAAACAGGAGACATAGACAGGTTGCAGAAGGGTGGCTGATTTCGTCACCCTCCTGCATTATCTAATGGTAGTGTTCTGATTCAAGCACTGAGTTGTATCAGATTAATCAAACTTGTGTCAGGCAAAAGGCAAAACTTGTGGAAAACATTCAATATCTCGTCTATGAGAGAGTCGGCTCGCCATATCTGGAGTGTGAGGCACGGTAGGGTGGTGAACATGTCAGCGAATTCTTTTGCGAGTAACCGAACGGCACGAGTAATGACTCAATGTGTAAATTAATGATCCGTCTACACAGTGCCCCCAGTCGGACCTGAACAATGCTTGCAAGTCTCACGAGTCGGTAATAAAAGCATTGGCTGTGCGCCAGAAAAGTTGAACTTTCATCAATCTGTGGGTTGGGACACTGCACAGTTTCCTTGGAAAATTTCTTTCCGGGGCCTTGAACATTCCTCGAAAACCCTCGAATATTTGTTTTCAGAAAATGTACGAACCCTGGTAAAGCATGCAGTCGTGTGGCTTAGGCAGCGGTGGCTGCTGTTGTAGCTCTGGTTTGCACCTGCCGATATGATTGTGCACGTGTTTAACTTGTATTGTGGGTTGGGTGGTTTTCTTTAACCTAAAAGTGTGCCTTATCCTCCCAAACAGGAGAAGCATGCCGAGGAAGTGCGTCAGAACAAGGTTCAGACCACCGAAGAGAAGGCCTCGTCCGGCTGAACGGCATTTAATTTCCTTCCTTTCCTCGGACGTTCTTGTGTTCTGCCCAGCGTTCCAATTTGCAGGGTGTTTTCGTGTCCCTCTTAACTTGTGTCATCTTTTTTTTTTTTTTTGTTGTGTGTTTGTTTTGTAATGAGAAAACATTTCTACCAAAGTTTGTTCCCTGTTGGCTGCACGTCAGTTACACATGTTTACGCTGATTCTGCTGTCTTTTCTCAAAGGTGGTGGAGCCCAAAGCGTTAAGTCTTCTCAGTATTCCTTTTGTTTTTCGAGTTCTTTAAAGCAAGCAGGTTCGCTGCTCTGTCATGCGCAATCTGTGGGAGAGGGAAAAAACACTTGATTCGCATACATCCTTTCTCTTTCCTCAAAAATAGTAATGACGTCGACTATTAAGACGAGCGCTTTTTTAATATATATATATAAAAAGACACAAATACCTTCCCTCCCACCCTTTATCAAAGCCAGAGAAAAAAAAAGAAAAAAAAAATGTAGGTGTAGCACCACTCTTTCTGCCTGTGCCATACAGTGTGCTTGTCTCGCCCGAATGCCTTATTTCCACGCCTAATTTATATGCAAGCGGACCAAGGTGTTGGGCCCACAGAAACACCGCAGCGAAGCCTCACCGCAGTTGCAAGGAATGGTTACTTAAAAAAGAGTGAACCCCAGCCGTAGCGGGTTTCGTCTTCGGCGCTTCTTACTTGGGAGAAGAAAAGAAAATAGGTGGCGGTTAGTCAGGTGGCTTCTCGTCGTGGCGCGTGCGCTTCTCGAGAAGGTTTGAACATACTAGATGTTGTCTGGAGTGATCTCAAAAGTGTGGCGGCGGTGTAGTGTCATGGAGTGCAGAGTGTCGGACTTATAAACACCTGTTGGGGTGGTCACATACTCGAGTAAACTTTGTGATAACTGGAGTTCCTTCGTGAGCGATGGATGTATACTAGCGTCTTTTCGTGCGCGAGGTGCGATGCCCTCACACCCTCTTTCCTGCGGCTCGCAAACCTTTTGAATGAGGTGAAGTGTACCGCGTGTCTCCCCACCCCCTTCCCCCCTTTGTGCACCATTCCGCACAAATTTTTTTAATATTCCAGGCTTCCAGCGAAGGGTGAACTGTACCATGGTCAGCGTATGTGCGGTCTGTGTTACTGGAGAGCGTGCTTTTTGTAGTGTGGCCGTAACGTTTTTCATGAATACGATCAATAAAGGTAGATATGCTACTTTGTATGTTTTGCTGCTTTTACTTTAAATGCGGAATGTGTTGTTTGGTTGGCTCATGGCCACTTGCTGCGACACACCCTATAACAGAAAATATGGCACAATTACTGTCTGTTCTGCTAAAACGCGTGTTCTTATTGTTGGGTTTACCTAGGATTCTCGATCTGGGGTGTGTTAGAAATTCCTATAAGGGTTGCAATTGTAGGCATGTTTACCTTTGTGAACGAAATTTGGGGTGGTGGTAGTACACGCTGCCTGCGTGGGTGTAGGGGCAGTTTCGAGGGTTGTGTCCATGGATTTGCAAATAAAATTCTGGGTTCTGTCAGACGGGTGTAGACCCCAGACCACACCGATTCGTTGGGTGTGGGCTGGAAAATCGAAAATTTTCCGCTTATGCAGTGGGTGATGGAAATAAATGAACAAGATAGGAATGTAGCAAAAAGTTTTTGGAAGCACATTAAAGCGTGGGGTAGCAAGACGGAGGGTCTCCCACAGAAGGGGAGAAGAGTGGAGGGGAAGGGGTATGGGAATATATTAGACGGACAATCTAAGAGGATTTCTCCCAGCTTGAGTAGGAGACGGTGGATAGCACCGACAGCAGCAGTGTGTAACAATGAAGACGACCACAAGAAAATGGTACAAGGCAGGAAATGAGGTTCCAGCGAGTACAGCGACAGCCCTAGACTATCACCCATGAGACTTGTAAGGACACTTGGAGAAACAAGCAGATAGAAGTATGATGTGATTAATCAAATAATTATGGGAGGAGAGGTGCCTCATGATTGGAAACGAAGTAAAATGAGACTGATATATAAAAGCAGGGTAACAGCATTGGCTGTGTTCCAAATCTTACCCGAATTAATCCCAGTTACTCCGGCAGGTCGTGTCACGTGACAACACGGATTGAACAACGCTGGACGCGGGTAGGTTTTAAAACGCCAACGTACAAAAACCCTTACCCTGGAGTAGGATCAAGTAAATTTTGGAACACGGCCATTACATCATCGCCCGATAATGGTAACTTCGGTTCTACGCAGATTAGCTATGCAGTGAGCAAGAAGAATGGAGGAATGGGGGGGGGGGGGGGGGGGGGGGGGCAGAAGATATGCAGATACTGTGCGAGCTCCAAGATGATTCCGAAGGGATAGGAGACTGACTGGAAGATAACTTGGTCGTCACCACTCGTATAAAAACTAGTGATGAACCGAATCTGCCGAACTTGAGATTCACAAAGTTCAGCGCATGCCAAACTTTTTAAGAAAAGTTCAGCAAAGATGTGGCGAAAATTCGGCGAATGTCTGCGCACGCGCGAGAGTGCGATGGAGCCATAAATTTCAAATGGACGCCGTTCGGTTACCATCGTACGGTGTAGTAGTACCAGCGATTACAGCGAGGTGTGGTGTAGGCAGCATGGTAGCTTTACGTTTATGAGCCTTTGCGAGTGTGGTTTACTTCCATATTTTATGCCTCCAGAACAAAAGATCAACCAGTAATTTACGCAGTTCACTGCACAAATGACAAATGATGCAGTACATTCTCGATAACGTGATTTTCATTTGACCTTTCCGTGATGCATTGACTGACAATTACTTTAGACCAATGAGTCTCCCTCTCTCTCTCTCTCTTCCCCCCCCCCCCCCCCCCCCCACACACACACAGATATTTCGGACTGTTAAAGAAAATACGGGGAAAGACCGCATGGTCGAGCTTATTTTAATCTAAAATATTTAGGGGCAGTTTGATACTTTAGAGTTTAGACCCATGTTACGGATAAAAAAAAAACAAAAAAAACAGCACGCGGGATGGCCAAAAAAAACGAAAAAAAAACGCGTTTTTCGTGTAAGGCTCGGCAAATTATGAGGCGCTAGAAAAATGCAACCTTCTGCGCTAAGTCCTTATTTCGAACTCTTTGTTCGCCTTCCGCCCATTGAAAAGCATGCGGGAAGGGCCTTAGAACGCACCTGGCATCGCTGCGAAGTTCGTCTGCTTTCCTCGCCGTCACCATGGCACAGTGATGTGATTGCTGCGCCATTTGCCCCAAACTGCGCCAAGGGGCTAACCCTGCTACCTCCTGCTACATTTTGCCAAGATTTAGGTAATCTGCGCCAAAGGACCAATTTTGGTCGCCTTTCTAAACCGAAACTAACTGAGTACCGTAATTCAGCACGCGGTGAGCAGGGTGGCGCAAGCAGCCGCCCGATACAAAGTACCCTGCATCAATCATTCATCTGGTCTTGCATGGTTTTCCTATCATGTCTCGTTCCGCGTCCTAATCGTCTCGCATTCTTTTTTTTTTTTAATTTTTAATATTGTTTTTAACGATAGACGCGGGCGTGTGCGGCGCTCCGACGCTAACGTGCTACGGTACCAGCCATGCCGTCATGCTATGAAACGAAACCACGTTTTTGCGCGGCGGGAGTTCCTTTGTCAGCTGAAGCACTCGCTCCTGAATGCAACGGCTGTGGGGAAACTATATTTGGTCCCTGCCTGCCAGTCACCGTAATGGCGCGACGTCGGGTGTTGCCGTTTCCACGTCGCTGCAGATATGGCGCTTTCTAAAATGAAACTCACCGCCGCATGTTCATCAACATTCCTGTTCTTGATTAATACGCTACTAAAAAAATTCCTCTTTAGCTCAAAGACGCCTGTGACGAAGAATTGATTACCTAAGTTTTTCTAAGTGGGCTTTCTTTCGGGAGGGACCCCGGTACGTAAAAAATCTTCCGCGAAAGAAAGTTGGTGAAGGGAAGTGAGCTAAAGAAAAGAAGGCAATGTCTGCAAGCTAAACCCGCACAGCGTGCTTGCTTGTCTCGAGTTCAGTCGTTGTACGAAGCGCTCCAAGAACTTTTTAACCCTGGCTCGTGACGTCTTGCATCGATGTGTTCAGGTTCTTTTTTTTTTTTCTGTGTATTTAGCTTGTACCTCGCCTGCCAGCCTGGCAAGCACGTGCCGCTGGACCGTTTTTTGACGTATGCTGGACAGTTACATTTGCATACAATTTTGGAAACCATTTGGCGACGGAGCGGAGTGGCATGGTTTCGATCGAACAGCCATCTCCGCTCGCGCGACAATTTCGCATTGCACTGCAGTAGTTACGTGTTTTATCAATTGGACACTGCTTTCATTTCTTTTATCACTAGTCAACCTTATGCTGTGCTATTTATACTGAGCTGGTCATTTTCAAATAAATTTTAATATCTGCACTTCGGTTCTTATTTACCTATAACGGGTACATATATATACGTATCATTTAACTGAAACATTGCAAAATGTGTTATGTCTTTGGCATTTCAGTTACGTGTTGAAAGACTCCCAGGTGGTCTAACTTGACTGTAATTTGTTTATTGCGGCAAGCAAAGTGTCCCTGGTTTGTCCAGCACTTAAAACAAATATTTTTTTTTATTTTTCTGAGAATATCTGCTCCAAAAGCCATTTTTGCTGTTCCAAAACAGTCTTGGCTGCTCCAAAAGGTGCTCCAAAACGGCTTAGGCCAATCACATCACTGCATGGCAACGAACGCCGAATGAATGGAAGCACGCACGGTACCGCCGCGTGAAGCCAGCAACAGCTGGTGCCGTTTTACGAACGCCGTCTACTAGCCAAAGCCGAACGCAGTGTGTCAGATCAACCGCCTTCGCCTGTGCGCCGCTGGCAAAGACGACGAAACAGCACCGCGGGACGACTGCAACGGCGGCATTTATAGGGACCAAACGCGCGAAATAAGCAAAAACTGTTTTTATTTGAATCGTAACACGCGATATCCACGTTGGGGATCACATACCTTTGCTGGGTCTTTCTTGTTCTTCTGTTTTTAAAAGTGGTAAAAAGTACAGTGCTTTCTTGTTTCTCTGGCAGGCATTTTGCACGAGAGTGGCCTCTACGAAAAGTTGGAAGAGCTTGTGCAGGGCCGCTCTTACACTTTCTACGGCGACCCAGCATACCCATTATGGCGGCTTCTCATGAGGCCGTACGGAGGTGCCACCCTCACTCAACAGCAAGTGCTCTTCAACAGTGGCATGAGTACTGTGCGACAAGCTGTTGAGTGGGGTTCGGCAAAATAGTATCTGAGTTTGCATTCCTAAACTTCAAGAAGAAACAGAAGCTGTACTTGCAGGATGTGGGGAGAATGTATCGGGTGGGGGCAATTTTACTAACTGTCATACATGCCTGTACGGTAGCCAGACTGGTATGTGCTTTGGGCTCCGTGCACCCAACTTGGGGCAATAGTTGAAACCTTCTGTACGGGACAGACCCAACCTTTAAGATACTCTTGGTACAGTGCTCAGCAAACTTATATGCAACACTCAAACTGTGTCTCGTAAGGTCAGTGCTCCATTGCGTAGCGCTCAATAGAACAACTTGAGCAGGGGAGGTCGCTTGCTCAAGGCCGAAATTGTAGCTAGGCCAAGGAAAACAACAGTTTTGCTGGCAATCTACACTTATCACCACCCCTTCGTATTGAAGGTGCTTAGGTGACTGCCTAAACCGTCAGTGATTAGATGAATCAATCAGTGGGCATTCCATGTTTTTACTGAATGAGCCCTTCAATAACTGACGATTTCAGCAGTCACCTTTGGCCGCCACCTGCATCAAGCAGAATTGCCGTGTTGTCCCCGGCCCAGCCACCATTTCGACTTTGAGCGAGCGACCTCCCCTGGTTGGGCCATTCTACTGAGCACTACCTTTGGGGATTATACGTGCCAAACCGACAAAGTGCATCTGGCGTGGCCGAGTGCAGGATTGAGGATTAATTTCATCAATCTGGAGATGTTCCGACGTACGACAGAAATTTCAATATTATGGCACCTTCTTTGCAATAAGCCTCCGTCAGATTGCGGGCAGCTCTACAAACGTTCAAACCAACTGGATATCCGTAGGCTGGTGCTTTGCCTCCACGTGGCAGCTAGCATTCTTATCAGATAAGGCACAGTTTGCATTTCTCGTATAGGCTTTGTGGGCCCTGTAGATTTTCCTAAATGTAATCTTTCTAGTCTTTTTTAAG